GGGAAGGGAAGGGAAGGGAAGGGAAGGGAAGGGAAGGGAAGGGAAGGGAAGGGAAGGGAAGGGAAGGGGTGTGTGAACAGACTGAAAATAGGGAGAGCCCCAGCTGACAGAAGAAAATAAGGACTGAGTAGGTGTTGGGACTGGGAGGGTCATGCACAAACAGGGTAGGTAGGAAAGCAGTGGAGAGAAGTGAATGGGAGAACAGAGAAAACCAAGAATTACTGGTGTTTGCAGTAAACTTTCTTACAAAAAGTATTTGGGTTACTGCTGGTTTATACATTTAATTGAATTTTTTTTAAAAAACCCCACTGTGGATTAGCATCCATGTAGCTGTGAGTATATTCATTATTAAGTCTCTCTTCTTCATGTACTTTGTGTACTGCTACCATGAGCAGACAGCCTACTCTTTTTCAAACATCTGTTTTGAAAGACTTGTGAATATTTGCTTAGAGTAGCATATATTTAACATTCAAGCACTTTCAGCAACTCTTTGATACAATTAGCTCATAATGAGCAGCTTCCATGCTAGCAACCTATGCTAAAATGCTTATTAAAAACTTTAAAATGTTGAGACTGACTTTAACAAAAAAAGGCCACACAATCATCAGCTCACTCCTGGGAGTCTCTCTGAGGTGTTGTTTCTGCAAAGCCAAAAATAATTGCTGCAAAAGTTCTGTTTAACTCTAAGTTTTTCTGCCAGGACAGTGTCTGAAGTTACCTCAAAACCTGCTGAGGTTGAGTGCTTTGTGACAGATTCCTGAAACGCCATATGAACAGAGACATGACATGCTATCATAAAAGGTATTTGGAATTTTCTTGGCCTTCCTCATGAACTTTTATCTCACTTCCTCCATCATCCTGAGGCCCAAGGTGCTGCCCTGAGCACCGAGCTGTACTAAGTAGCTTTGGCAAGATGCTCAAGGCAGGTGAAGGAAGGGCAGGCAGGGAACGTGCTTGCTGACACCACCGGCTGCAGAGAAGGTGGCTGACCACCAGGCCTTGCCACAGGCGCAGACCATCAAAGAGGGGAACTTGTCTCCCAAAGAGGCTTTTCTCTGTGTTTCTTGAACATGTAATAGTGTTGCCAGAATTTGAGAACTTTGACTTCTTAAAACTATCCTTAAGAAGTGAGCAAGACTTCTTTGTGCAGATCTCTCCCAGAGATTCCAGGAGTCTTAAAACAACAAGAAAACCTAAACAACAGAAAAATACTTCAGCTTTGGATCTTGAATTCTTTAGTTAGCTGAGCCACAGAAATATACATAAATAAATTAAAAATCTCTTCCCTCTAAACTTTAGGAATGTTTATTATTTCTTTAGGATGTACACCCTTTTCTTCTATATGCACCTAATTTGTACTTTGTAACTTCTAGACACTTTAAAATCAAAAAATACCTAAAGGGGACATACTAATTTATGTCAACTCTTCTATTACAAGTTTTGTTTCACATTAAATATGAGTAAGAAGGAGTTATTTCATGGTTATGAAAAATTTAAAAAGCAAAAGTGCTATGAAAAATATATGGAATACATATGTGTGTGGAAACTCAAGAGCTTTCATTTGGTATTGATAGGCCCATTGGACCAGAAGCAGCCTTGGTGCTTTCATGTAAAAGAAGAAATTTTTGTCATTACTTCAGTGGCCTTGTGTATTTAGCTTAGATGCTTTACTCCAGCATCCTCTATCTTGGGTCCTTTTGTCTTATTATGTGAATTGCAGTCCCATACATCACATTCTATACTATTGAAAGATATTGTTATGAGGAAACCATGAAAATTTAGACACTTATTTATAGAATTTGGTGTGCAAATATTTGGAAGTACTTCCCTTTTTCCTTCATATTCAAACACACTTGAAACGCTGTTCTAAGATATGCATTAAGAATCAGAGTGATAGAATGCTTTCCCGTTTTCTAAATAGACAGGAGTTCTTCTAAATTGTTCAGATTCTACAAACATAAATGCAATAAACAATGCATCTTCAGTACACCTTGTTTTCTGTGATTAGTTACATAATTACCATAATTGCCCATTGTATTCAATGCATCTTGATAATAGTGTAACTGCTGTTATATTCCTGAAAATGTCATATTACTAGTCATTGTCAACCCCAGGGCATATGTACTTGGCATCATAAATTAGATACCATCTCAAAGAGAAATAATCAGTTTATGCTTGATAACTTGGTTAATTTGGGGGTAGAGTAGGAATCTAAGGAGGAATCTTCTAAAAATGTTCTGCTTTAAGTGTCTGATCATTGCTTTAGATCATGATTTTGCATACGTCATAAAATAAACTTCTGTGAATAACTTGAGCTAAATTACCTACATTACAACTTGAGGAAAACATCAGTTTCCTCAGCAGACAGCAAAATAAGGTATATAGTAATTTTTTTAAAAAACTATAGTTACAAGAATAAGCTTTGATCATTCATATTCAGCAAAAAACTGAGGTTAGTTATTCCACTGTTAATGTGGAATAATGTTAATTAATGTGAGCCTTTAAAGGCAAACATGATTTTTGCCTGCCCTTTCTCTGAAGCAACATGAGCCAAACATGAGCCATCAGGCAGCTACAGAGCTTCAGTAGCTCCAACACTCTGCATCACAGCAGTCCATGGCTGCTGTTGGGAAGATGCTTTCCTCTATTCAGCTCACAGCATATGACACTGACACTGTGCCTGTTGGTAAAACACAGTGTCAATATATCCTCTGACAATATCACTTGATTTAGTCATTCATTAGGCCTGGTCTCAGTCTTTTAGTTAGTTGAAATCAGATTTCTCCTTCTTTTGTTGGAGATTTTTCACATAGGATCTTCTCAATACAGAGGACAACCACCTTGCATATCCAAAACTCTCAAGCATGCAGAGAAAAAAGGAAACACAAACAAACAAGCAAAAACCCAAACGAACAACCAAAACAAAAACACAAGACCAAAACAAAAATTAAAATTTTACTACTTATGTTTATGGTTTTTATGTGTGCTTAATACAGTTAAACTACCTTAGTATAAGAATATTACTCTTAAAATTATTTTATGTATTTAGTAGATACTTATATTTAGTATAATGCTATTATTTTCAGGGGATGAGTACCTACAGTTACCACTTCAACATTGACTGGGTTTTGAAGCACAAACCAGTGTGAAAAATCAGGCCTCAGTTTTGCATACATTGGACATGTCAAAATTGAAGGCATATGTTTAAATCTTTTTAATTATCTCTACCTGTGGAGTTAATAAGCAATTAAGTCTGTCTGCAAAAAAATCTGAGGCAAAGAGATCCATTATTTTCTATGTTAACCTGTATGGTAGTCTTTGCCTATGAAATATTAGTAGTGCAGGGTTTATTTTGTCCTATGCATTTAGTTTTGTATTCAGAACACCATGTGGTACCTAAAAACCTGGGAATGCAATTATTCTTTGTGGTTTTTGAAGGGGAGTCTAATTAAGCAGATCTCCACTGTTACAGGCACAGCAGTGAAAGAATTGACTGTAACATCAGTTACATATCCCAAACTGAAGGCCAGAGCATAATGTTTATTATTTCAGAGTAGAATCAACAAAAAAGTATATAATTAACATCAGAAGAATACAGATACCATTATTTTCTTGTTTCAAGTGATTTCTTTTTCTTTGACAAGGATGGTAAGTTGTTCTTTTAATGTTAATCTGTTCTTTTAAAGACTAAAATCATCACTGAGTAAATGTCTTTGGCGGTTTAGAGTTCAAGAGAGGTAGATTCTATTTAGTTAAAATATTCCATAGTGCTCTGAAGTGTTAAAATGACCCAATTACTGTGTATACTTACCAAGAAAAAAATTAACTGAAATATCAAAAACTAGATAAAAACTATTGCAAGGAGACCAAATATCAAAAATTTAAATGAAGTCAAGGGCCACACTTTTAAAAATTACTGTCATTTCCTCAAAATCAAATGTGTATATTTCCTCATCCACCTCCAGTGTCCAATGGTTTCAATGAAAATTTCTCAGCTGATTTCTACAAATGAAGAGATGTGATACATGTGTTTATACATGTTTACATGTGATATACAATGAAAATGTGTTCAACGTGAAAGCAGGACTTCCAGAGCTCAGAACTCTTAACTTTGAAATCTGCAGTGTATTTAAGGAGATGTGGTAGATTCAGTCTCTAGACTACAATAAAATGGATTAAGCCTATAAAGAAGTATGAGAGAACAAAGTGTAAGTACCTCACTTAGAAGTATTGCAAGTATTATTTTTTTGTAATTTTATGTTAGGACCTTCTACATTCATTCAAATTTATTTAATCCAGAATGATTGCATCTACATATGTGAAAATGAAGGCCACATGGTTTTTTACATTAAATAATTGGATATTTAGAGAGATTTATTTATTTTAACTATGAGCATTTTAAGTGTATTTTCCCTGAAATTAACCTGCTACAAAGCCTTTGTTTTTTATTAGCTAAGGAATTCAACATTTGAGGCCATGAAGCAAAACCACTGATTTTTAAAAAATCTAATTAGAGAACTTTTAACCCAGCCATATGGATAAAGGAATTTTAAATGGTCTGAACTTTACAAACATGGAAAAGTAAGTAAGAGAAAACACATAAAAGATGGAGTGAGTAACATAAAGGTATGATTCTATGATTATTCTTAAATGATAATTCATCTCTCAATCTCTGTTTCATATGGCTGATTGGTAAGATTACACACTTGAAACTTTGTATTAGTCTCTTCTGCATCTTTTACTGTCTAAAGCCATTGTCAGTTTTTACCCTGATAAGAACATACTAACCATTCCATAATATTTGGATAAATAAAATCCCCATGCAACATTTCTTGTGCACCTACAGGAAGAAAGCTGAGTTTAAAGCAACTTTCAGAAAAACAAACACACTAAGTTGATAAGGAATTTCTTATTTCCTAAGAAATTTCATCGACTACTATGTTCTCATTTTTCTGTCTATCAAAAAGACACAAAACCATCTGCAAAAAATCCTAACCTGGAATTATGCCCATAATCTTCTCACAGTCCTTATGAAGTGCAAAGTACAGTCCTTCAGCTATGATCCCATAAGTTTATGAGTTAACCTTTGCTATTTCCTGTATTCAGAGCTTTTCCACAAGGTCATACATTTGGAGTTAGGAATTTGTTTCTGATCCTGTATGCACATATGCCAAGAAAATTTTACATTGATTCATGGAGTCTGATTCCCCATTGTAAAATGTTTGCAACTGCCTCAGTTGTTTTAGGAGCCCTGAGAAAGGATCCATCTCCTTTCCTTCAAAGCTTCCTGTGAAGTGATGTCACTCAGTGCTTACACAACGGGCTGCTGATATCAAGGCAAAGGTGGTCCTGTAAATTATTTTGATGTGGGTGTATTTCTTCATTTTTGCTGTAATGACCTTTATCATAAAAATCTCCTGAAATAACAGTGGCAGGGATAGTAACTTTTTAACTGCGCTGCCTGAACTCTGTTCAGAACAGATCTAAGAGCAAATTAAAGGGTTGTAATAGATTAATGACTTACCTATGTGATTATTATCACTATTGTCAAAGAACTGAAACTGAAAAAGTTCTATCATGGATGGATTTAATGAGCCAGCTCAGGTTATTCAGTGTTACCACAGCAATCAGACTGACTGTATGTAAAACACTTCTCCATTAATATTTTTTGAGCCTCAGTAATAATCAGTTATGTGTCAGTGTGGACTGACTAACCATCCCATATAACTTGCATTACAGACTAAACAGATGGTTTTAAATCCCTCCCTTTGAAATCATTATGGCCTCTGGAGTTCAGCAGT